AGTGAGATGTCAGGCTGAAGACCCATCACCAAACACCCGTGCTGTTTTGTCAGCTAGGCATTTCAGCACTCCTTGGCCAGGGTTGGGTCTTAGCTCACCACACCTTGGGGGCCGGCACCCTTCTGCCACACACTGGGTGCTTGGCATGTGTGCAACATAGCTGGCTGGCAATGAACTAAGCCTGGCATTTGCCACCTCTGAAACCAGGCCACGAGCAGGGCTTCTTAGTCAGTTCCTTAAGCACTGAATTCTGCTGCCTCTTTCCAAAACATGGCATATTCACTTTAACATATCCCTTGGCCTCTGAGCTCGGTGGGGGGGGGTGGGTGTGAGGAGGTGGGGTTGGATCTGGCACCCACAAAATTCCTCCTACTGCTCTCCTAGTACCACACTCCTTGCTTTCACTTTTGGAGGCCCTGAATTAGGGTTTTTGTGATCAGCAAACACACAGCATGACACTTCATCTGGATTTGTAATCAGCTGGATCATCAGATGATGCTGGTGTCTCCCCTCCATTTTTCTTAGTTGCTGATACACTTTAAGAATACTCATAGTTGTTCCCTGATATTGCTCTTTTCTTTATGATGTGGTTTCTTTATGAAGATGTGATTGTAAAAGAAGGGGGGGCAGGGTCGTCTCCAGCCAACAACCTCCTGCTGCTAGAGGCTGACCAGTTAGCAGCAGTTGTAGTCTAATACTGCCTCTTGTTGAGGACTTTTAACAAGACTGCAAAAAATTAGCAAAACCCGTACTAATCCTGTTCACAGGTTAGAGGGAGAACTGTAACCTGCCAGAGATGGACAAAGTTTGCAACAAATACTTTATTGGGAGCACCTAGTATCATTGATACTAGGATTGAGGACCTAGGAAACCCTGGATTCTGCTTCTGTCTTTTTACCACTGAGAAAGTAATTTTTCTGTGTCTCAGTTTGAAATCTCAGTAAAACAAATGGGAGATTTGCCAGTTACTTCCTTTAAAAACTAAACAGAGCAGGGGCTGTAGGTGTGAAGGACTGTGAGTGGTGCTGACTGACATCTACTGGTAAACTAAACACGGCTGATAAGGTCACTCCAAAAGCTTGGCTGTGTTTGTGGGGAGCCTAGGGATTTGCATGTCCCTTTTAAACATGAAAAGATAGGCTTGCTCATTGTTGAAGACAAATGCATCATATTCTTGGAGAGACACGAAGAAAAACACTACCATGAATTTTCCATGTTTGTGGCCATGGTTGGTTGGGGCTGTCCCTTGCTAGATGCCTGAGCCTGCTTTCAGATGTCTGCCATGCTCCTCCCTGCACGCACCAGTGAATCTCTCTGTGCCTCACTTGTGCTCAGACACTGTGGTTAGGATACTGATTTCTTCCCCCTTGGCTGGATTTGAGAGTGCTTTAAGGCAGCCCCTCCTTCAGAGCACACGCAGCACTTACCAGAATGGGGCTCAGACCCCAGACACTGTGACTGCCAACACAAATTAACTGTGGTGGTAATATCTCTTCAGAGCACCTCATACTTTTCCAAACCTCCTCCTGAAGATTTTAACCACCTCAAGACACAGCTGGGACACTGCAACTTGGATGGCTACCTACTACCAGTTGGAACAAAACACAGCCATGCACTATAAAGGAAAAGATACTTTACTTTTTCCATCAGACACATACCATCTAAACAAAAACATCTCCTGATAGGAGGTCTGACAACGCACATCTGACAAGAGCAGCTGCATGAACTTACCATTCAGTGTCCTGATGTTATTTCTCAGTCAGCTTGGAGACACAACTGACAGTTATACACAAGTGATTGCTGGGGAACAGGTGATTTCCTTGCCCTACTCTAGGACACATCATATACATGGCATCATCTTGACAAGGAACCGGCAACACGCATTTGCATGGAGATGTCCAAGTAAGAGAGAAGACATTAATGCAGGCACAGGCATATACCAGCGACACAACTTGCTTTACACTGAGCAGCACTGGCACCAGCAAAATCACAGCACGAGGTGAAGGGAGTGGTCTTCCTGCCAGAAATGGGGAAAAGGAGCTTGCTGGCCAGGAGACGCTGCATCCTGCGGTTCTTCCCTGATCCCAGAGCTGGTTCAGGCCTTCTCCAAAGGGCAGGCTGACTGCCACTCCCCCAGCCCAAAGGAGAGGAGGCTGCAAGAGTGTTCTTGTCAGTGGGAGGCAGGGAGCCCTGGCAAGCTGGGGTTGCCACAGACAGGCAGCGTGAGGGGCAGACATCTCTCCCAGCTGCAATGACCCTGTGGAGACTCACATGCTCTGCCTTTTCAGGGGAAAGCCAGCTTCCCAAGTTTCAGGCATGAACAAAGCCTGCAGTGCAAACATGACCATTTTGATCCTCCTGCTACCCTCAAGAGCAGATCATGATGCCTGTGACCTAGCTGCCTGAGGTTGATGGTCACTGTCCTGTGGATCTGAGCCCAGTGGCCACACCATTGCCCTCTTGGCTTATTTGCCTTCCCCGACACTTATGGGGGTCCCTGTGCAGAAAGGAGCAGGGTGGTGGAGGTTGCTTCCTGCTGCGTAGTGACAGCAAGACCCTCATGCAGTGCTGCAGTGGCTGCAGCAACCCCTGGATCAGTGTGGGAGTTATCCATCAGGCTGGTCTTGTGGGGGTCTGGCACAGCTTCGCAGGTCTTACGCCACATTTCTGTTGAGCAGAAACAACAAAGCAACACTCTCCATGTGAGAAATGTGAAGCTTTATGAAGCTGGGCCTTAAAGATAATCACTTCACCTTCATTTTCTTTGGCAGGAACTGATTTCAGGATTCTATCATCTTCACAGTGGTTGTTGCTACGTTAAGGAGCTTCGCCTCAGCCAGCAACATATTTTCCACTGACTCTGTCAACATAGAATCAATGCACTGAAGCAGACAGTTGCTGCTTGGATCTCTCCCACAGTGCTAGACTTAGTTCTTGACAGATCAGTATCCCAGGTATTTGATATCTGTGCAGTAATGCAGACTCAGGACCTCACCCAATATTCTGAGTCTCCGGAAATAGCAGGCACTCCTTCAGAGACTTCAAAAGGGCAGCCTGTGTCTTTGATTTTGCAATTAGGCCTCAGTAACCATAGTCTGCTATTGAGCCAGGATCTAAAGCGAGGTTTTGCAAATGGATTTAAAGAATCTTCCTCTGTGCCTTTCAATACACAGAGAAGGCAGTTAATTAACCACAAGGGGCTGTATGTGCTCTTCAAGCCCATTACAGAGCACATAGCTCCTTTGTTCAGTTATGATTTAGCACATGGATTTTCTGTTGGGTGTTTTTTTTCCCAAGTTTTAATTAAAAAGGCCTTTTTCAGGAAGTTCTCCTTACATATGCCCTTTGCTTCTGAATAAGACAATGGTTTCAGTGCTGAGAGTAACAGGAAATAAGCAATATTATTATTTTGAGTTCAGCTGGAAAAGCTGAAGGTAAAAAGCTCTTGCTCAATTCTGAATTCAGTGAAACTGGGAGTCAAGAACTGTGGCAACGTCTCACAGATAAGTCTTGTCCCCAGCAGGAGGACCACCTGATGGGAAGTGAGCTGTGAGACCCTGCAGTTCCTGGCTGAAATCTATGTTCCCTGTGGGCTGGGTGACAAGGCCTCACAGCTCATGCTAGGCTCTCACAGCTGAATGACCCTTGCTTCATTTTATCAGTGATATCTTGTAGCTGTGACGGCCCTAGAGCCTGAGCCATCTGGGGACAGGGCTGATCCTGAGGTCCTTCAGTCATTCCCAGGGAGGCTTTCCACAGACCACAGTGACACGTCCATCTTAAAAAGGTGGCAATACAAAATGCCACTGCACAAGGTCTTCACTAAACCTAACACTGCACTGCATAGCACACTAACAGTGTAGCACTAATAAGAGTCATTAGTGGTGTGGTACAATTGACACTTCTTTTGGCTTTAAGCCTACAGAGCCTATTTGAGGTTAAGTATTGTGGAATAGCAGCAGTGAAGATATTTGAAATATATTTACAGTGGTCTTGTAATAGCAGCAATAGTCTGCACCAACTGCAAGGAACATCAAGTCTCAGCAAAGTGAAAAATGCCTGGGAGAGAAGTATTGTGCCTGTGGTTGAAAAACTGACTTTCATCTCATTTTCACAATATTCTTCAACTGAAATGGTTCTAGCACCCACAACTGCAAACCAAATTGTTTCTTTAAGAAAAGAGAGAAGCATTGCAATTTTGTAGACATGGTGCTAGTTCTGTGAAGTACCTGGAAATGCAATGTAAGGAGCGTGAAAATAGACAACAGAAAGAGATTTCTTAGTACCAACAACTGTGTTATAAAACATATGACCAGAAGTCTGTTCCCTAACACTCAGACCTAGGACACTACCAGTAACTTGTCTGTTATGATATTTCAGATCTATTCCCAATTACACTAGGAGTCAACTCTCATTTTAGGTATCCAGTGTTAGGTGTTACCATCCCATTTTCTCAGCATCCAAATCTAAGGTACAGGGAGGGTTAACAAAGCCTTCTGGAAAGAAACTACAACAGAAGGAAAGAGTTGGTAACCAGGTAGACAGAAACAACTAAATTTCTCCTTTCCATCTCACACTAATTATTATATTCTGCATTGTTTAAATGATAACCACATCTTTGTCTGGCAGACTATTTTGTGCGTTAGGAACAAGTTGCAGTGTGCCTCTCTGGACACGTGTTTACAGCATGTGTTCTGAGGTCTCTACTTTTTGCAAAAGGATAGATTAAAATACTTTGTGTTGGCCTGTTCAGAGGCAGATATCTACCACATCACCTGGTTCCAAATTTCCACCTACTCCAGAGATACAGGGGGCAGAAGTTCTAGCTTTGTGACATTATACATCATTACACTGGAAAAAAGCATATCTGATTTTTCACATCACCAGCTCCTGGCAACAGTGGCATCTGTGACCATCTGTCTGGGTTATTCTAACAGTGGTGCAACAACTGACAATGACTTAGTACCATGGGAGCCAGACTGGGAGCACTGAGCTGTTCACTAGAAGCACACATCAGAGTGTGGCTGTGTTTTCTTGGGCACCTGAGACCCCAGCACACTTGACCTGGGCAAGATGGGATAGATCTCATTTTGGGAAGAGCTGCCACTCAGGTTGTTTCCTTTTGTGTGTTCTATCCCACAACACTCTGCTTCTTCTTTCCTCAGCTGGGCTAGGCTCTGGGGGAGCAGCTCTTCCTTACTGGGCTCTTCTTCCTACAAAACAGAAGAAAGAGTGACCTGAAATGTCAGCAAGCTACCAAGAAGTTTATAGCAACACCCTAGGGGAGACACAAGGTGTGGATGATACTTAAATATCTTCCCAAATTTTTCAGAAATTAGTACAAGCCTGTCTGTCTATTGAAGATCCACTGTAGTGTTTGCTGCCATACACTGACGAACGCACATTCAGGCGTAAGACAAATGAGGAGAGATTCATCCCTTTTCATCCTCTACAAGAACATTCACAGAAATGCCATGGCAAAGCAAACCTGCAAACAAACACTCAAATAAGCTTTCAGGCATGTTCACGTGAGAAGCAGGACCCCTCAAATACTCAGATGGGAAAGGAATCCCAAGACTACTCTACGAGAGAGACGTCTTTCTGACTCAGCTAGGTCACTTTGTGCTCTTTGGCTAATCTCATTATCGAAGCCTTGAAAACATGAGGTAATAACATGGCTTCCACATGCCTTGTTGTTGCCTTTGACTTTAAACCTGAAGACCCCAAATACTCTGATGGACTGGATATAGGGAGTCTTTGGTAAAAGTCACAGTTCTGCAAGGAGACGCCATGGGCAGACAGCTAACGATCATCCAATTATCATGTCTGATAAATAATCCACGGGTAAAGTGTTGTTAAGATCACAGTCCACAACACTGTCACAAGTTGCTCTTGCTGGGAAGGACAATATGATTTGGTTTTGGTTTTATCTGAAGATAAGTAGGTAGAAAACAACTGAAAACGAGTGAATTGCATCCACAGCCACAGGTATGAGCTTGGCCTCAAAGGAGCTGGAAGATGTGTTTAAAGATACCATGGCTAACTTGGGGGACATGAAAGTAGGAAGCTTTGTGTCACTTTGCTTGAACAGAAGAGGCTTGATGATACAAAATGCTGACCCCACTCAACCCATTTTGTCTTGTGTCAATGAGGATTGGAGAAGGAAAGGCCCTTTCACAGAACAGGGTTGGTCACCTGATCAACTAGCCCTGAACCTGGTTTATATGTACAGTGGAGGGCTACCAACCTTGCTAGCATTATCCAGTGGTTTGCCCAGCAGGTCTTTCCTCTTCAGCTTGTTTCTTTCCAGCACATCTAGCTTGCTCACCATTGCATCAATCTTGGAGCCAATGATGCTTATGGACTGTTCCAGCTGCAGCACACGCTGAAGGAGGCTGGGGGAGACATTGAGAGTATTTTCAAGCTTTTTCTTGTGATGAACGGTTGGATTTGTAGCAGACATCTCACAGACAATGGGCCAGACCTCAAACAGTAGTGACTACTCCACATCAGATAATTAACTCATACCCACTGAAGATGCAACTCCCTGCTGCACTGTGCTTTCATATGTAATCAGTGGTTCTGCTTAGGATGGATCCCAGCCAGTTTGCATCACAATCCAGCCACAATATAATCCCACTATTAAACATTGCACCTTCTTCTCCTCTGATATGGCCCTGTGTGGATTGCTCAGTGTTTCTCAGTAGCAGAATCAGTATCTCCTGATTGTCTGTGCTATATTTATGCCATGCTCCTCCTGCGGAAGAAACAGCCAAGTGTCGCTGTCAGAGCTGGAGGATGAAGGCCAACTAGGCTAAAATTAAAGGATTTTTACTCTCACAAGACCTTCTGTACAGGTATCAACTTCCCCTGTCCCAGTTATCTGGGCTACCTTCTGACCTAAAACATGAAAGCAAAATTCCTTTACTTAATCTTTTAAAGGAAGAAGCAAATTACATTTCAAGAACTGCCCCGGTTCTCACCTGATCTGCTCATTTACATGTGTACAAGATAAAAAGGGACAAGATCTTACTGAAATTGCTCAGCTTCACTGTAAACAGTTACACCAGGGAAGGAAGAAGTAGGGACTCAGACCCCTTATTTGCAGAGGGCTTAAACTACTAACAGCAGAAACATACACTTGGAACTCTTCTTTGGAGACCCAGCTGGCCTTATTGGTGTGGTTATTCCTTGCTTGCACATAGGTCAGATTTTCATTCAGGTTGTTGTCACCATATGATTTGCCCAAATTTTCAATCTCTGTGTTCAGAGCAACCTAGAAGATAAAGAAACTCCTGCTTAGTTGGATGCTAACTCTGTGTCAGCATCACTGTGAATAACAGGGTGCTTTACAGGAGGTGACACACTCAGCTGCTATGCAACAGACAGAGCTGGAGCTGTGTTTGAGTTGCCTGCTTAGTTTATACCACAAACCCAAAGATTACTAAGACCACTCTGGAGTGATCTCTACCAAACAGAACATTTCTTTCCTTGCCCTTTTTTTTTTTTACCCTTTTTGCCTCTAGATCATGCTTCATCTGCTGTTGCTCCTCTTCATCAAGGATGTGGTTGCCATCTTTGTCAAATCTGGAGAAGGCTGCTGTGATCTCATGGTCTGCATGGCCCAGTCTGTAAAATAGTAGAAACAGAAATCTCAAAGCACTGAATTACACTGTTAAGCTCTAACAGTGCAGCAGCATCTCTTGAAATCAGTGTATTGTTTTTTCTTGCCACTGGCAAACCTAAACATCCCAAATGAGATAATAACATAAACCTACTAAGTACAGGAGATTAAATATGTGAGGAAAGACTATAACTATTTTTTAGGCCTCACACTGCCCAGATAGGAGTTAACTGCCCTCCCAGTCTTGAAAACCAGAGGATGCAAATTAGCTGTATTACCAAAAGAAAGGGCTAAGGAGGCATCCCTCAGGCTGACTCACTTACTCCTTCAAGCTGTTCTTGAAGTCTTCAAAATCTATTTTTTTTGTTCCATTCTGCAGTGCTTTCTGCACATCAGAAATCTGCTCCTTCTTCAGCTTCAGCTTCATGAGTGTCCGGTTGTAGCTCTGGTACCAAAGGTGCAAATGGACATGGAATCATGCAGGCAGAGCAATGAAGAACAGGGCAGAGCAGACAATGAAATATGGGTGAGCAGATGCTAAGTAATAAAGGGAAATTTTAAGCTTTCCAGAAGCAAAAATAATAAGCCAAATTTCTAAACTAGGATCACACCTTCAAAGGGACACCAACATGGTAGTGAGGGCCTCAATGGTAAAGTTTGTCCTCTGCTTTTTTCTGGCCAGCTCTCCCTTTATCTGATCTCCCAGTCATCAGTTTTTTAAGATAATGCTTCTTGTACAATTCTTTGCAGAATATTGGTCCCACAGCACAAAGAGGTGTGACCTTCCAAGATATTTTCTGGAATTTGCCCATGGGAAATCCAGATGTAATCCACTAGATTTGTACCATTTTAACATCCTCAGCTTAGCAAAATAGGACCTGCCATTTCAGTGATCAAAGTACACACTATAAAGGACTGAAATAGCTTTGTCTAGAGACTATCCTTGGAATAAAAGTTTCTCAGAAACTTTATCAGCATATCCAAGTAACAGTATTCCCCCAAGCTCTGCCGTCTCATCTTCCCATTGTCAAAGGTTCTGGGAGCTTGATTTATCCAGAAGGGAGCTATGACTCCTGTGTGCACTGAGAAAACATATCTGGAATTGGCAAATGCCTGTTTCTCTCTAGTAAGTTCCATGTAGGTCAGGAACTTCCAGAAAATGTTTCAGAATTTAGCTAGAAAGTAGCACAGCTTTCACTATTCTTCACCTGCTTCAAGATGTCCGAGAGCTGCAGCTCATCCTTCTGGCTTGAAAGCTCCTCCTTGACTTCTGAGTAGGTGTCATTGATAATGGCCAGGAACATGTTCTGGAAAAAGGGGAAGAAGAGAGATGAATAAACGTGTTCCAGTAGCTGAAGCAGCAAGCGACAGGCACAGATGTGCAGGGCTTAGTTAAACAAGGAGCTGTTTCCATGTGGGGTATCCTCAGGGCAAATTAAAGCAAGTGGAGGGAAGGCCCACTTCAGCCACACAGGGCTTTCTCACTGGGAAGGAGGTCCTTCCAATTAAAGCAGTGGATGAAAGTACATTTGCTCCCAGCTTGTCCTGCAAGGTCTTGGGTTACATCTGGATTTCTGGCACTGGATGTTTAACCTGGTCATTACAACCATCCTACTGCATCCTTTGCTTAGGAAGCCAGAGACTTGTCCCCCATGCTTTCCTCACTTTCCTCACAGAACATCTGAAATGATCCCTTGAATTCAGCTGCTGCATCAGTAGTATTCCAAATCAGGTTTAGACTTCACCCTAAAGAATGTGACTAGGGCCCTCAATCACCCCAATGATCAAATCCCCAATTGCAACGATGTGTTCTTTGTCTGCTTTGGTCTGTTTGCACTGCCAAGCTTTCCTAACAGACACTTCCTTCCTCTCTCAGCATTTGCACTGCATCTAACTCGGGGATTATCAGGAGGGCTGTCTCAAACACACTACTGTTGATACAAGGACAAAGAGGGGGTTTGTGCTTACCAGGAGCACAAAGAAAACAAAGAACACATAGGTGACGAAATATATAGGTCCAAGGACCCTGTTGGCATTGTCAATGGAATTGTAGTCAAAATCACCAAGAATGATCCGAAACTGGGTGAAGCTGGAGGAGAGAAAGAGCACAAGGTCACACAAAGACACATATGTTTATCCTACATCCTCTAAACCCTAAATCTGCCTGTAGCCCAGGTGGCTACAGGCACAGGCCAGAGCAGGGTCTAAGTCACTCAGTCTGACTGGTGAGAAATAGTCGTAGCATTTCAGGGATGAAGTGAGTTGATCTGGTTAGAGCAAGAGCTGTCAGGAAAGTAAAAGGTGGTTTCCATACAAATTTTTCATCCAAAGTGTGTTTTGGTCTCCACAGGAGTTAAAACCAAAACAAAACCAACCTGACCTTTCCCTTATAAAGGCATTTGAATCATTGAAGCCTTCTCTTGCAAGAGAGTTCATAAGACTATGGAAAGGCTGTTAGCACTGCACAGTGCTCTTCAACCTTTTGCAATTCATAGCCTTTATAATAAAGCAGGTTTAAGTCTATTGATCAGAATTTTGGTTACCTCTGATATCTCGTGTAGACCCCTTAAAGACAGCACCTGGATGTCAGAGGTCTTTGGAACACAGGCTGAAAACCAATACTGTATTAGGTACTTTCCTTCACATCCCACATTGCTTGGGCAGGCCCATGGCCTGAAGGGTGTGTGAGATTGGGTATTTTAACTCACTTCCCCAACACTACCCTGTGTTTGTGCTCATCCCCCCACTGGTCACCCCCCAGCTCAGGTAGCTTGGTACATTAGCTGTGGGACTTCTCTGGAAATGACTAGTGATATAACCCTTGTAAAAAAGTATCCTCCAATTTAAAAAATGCATGAAAAACAAAAGACAGAGAGAAAGACACAGACTGTGAAGTGATGTGCAGGGAAAAGGACCTTGAGAGCTTGAAGCCTGGAAATCCTGTCTGAGAAATGCAAAGCTCCATTTCAGATTCCTTGCCTGTGGACTGTTTAGGGACGTGGGAATGTTTTTTACATCTGATGAAGTGGAATATGGCATTGCATTCTGTTCTTTTCATTAAAGTGTCTCAATTCAGTGATGCTAAAATATCTCCTTCTGGTAAAATAATATTTTTATCTCTTTTGCTTTGAAAATGTCTACTTAATCTTATTTAGACTATTTATTATACAGCGTATTTTAGAAGACTTCATGATGAATATAGGGCTACCAATTTTCAGAAATTAAGTGGAGCTACTATCTTTATCAAAACCAGATATATTTGTAAATAATATAAAAATGAAGTTTCTGACTTTTTGTTTTCAATGTTTAAGGTTATCATCTTGATAGGATAAATTTATTACTCCTGCTTTCCCTGTGAAATCACTATGCCAAAAATGAGTATTCCTTCCAAATCTTTGTATGATCTAAAGTGCAATATCTGATGAAAACCAGAAAAGTTCTCATACAGCTATTTTACAGACACTGAAACAATATGATCATTACTGTATATTTGGAAGCCAGAGAATTTCAAAACTCTGTCTGACCCTCTTCCTTATTCAAAGAAACACAAACAACAAACCCCAACTTTCTGAGCCTACCTCAAAACACTTGTTTTGATCTATTTAGTTATTAGCACCAGAATTACAGAGAAGTTTAACCTAACTAGGCCAAAAGCCATATTCTGGTGTATAAAGCCACAAATTTGCCAAGGTTTTAGTGACAGTCAGGCAGCACCATTCTCCTACCTTTATGACCCACAGCAGGTGAGAAAGTGACAGAAGGCATTGCAGAATAGAAACTAAATCATCAAAAGAGCCACAATGCTTTTCTGCAGAGACATGAAACCACTCTGCATGTTGAGTACCCTTGGCCTGCCTAACAACTCCACACCAAGGAACAGCTGCCTAGGCTTCAGCAAACTGAAGCTTCTCACTAAATGCTCCCGTGCAAAGGCTGGGATTTCCATTGAATTTTAGGGCTGCAAGGAGTCTTAAAGTGTGGTAGGATCAGCTACTCACATCCCTACTGACAAACACCAGAAATCTGTAACCCTCAATTTTCTCAGAGCTGGAGGACTATGAGCAACTTATTAACAATGGTTAATAATGGCAGCTTTGTTGGCATGAGATACAACAGTTATCTGATTGACATCCAGATTTGCAGTGGGGGAGAGGCTGGAAAGCAGTTCAAATTATTTTTATGAAATGATGGAAACATGGTTCTGATATCTACACTTACATGCATTTGACAAAGGTACTGAAGTTCTCTACTTGTGTCCCAAAAAGAAGGTAACCCAGCTGGGCATAGGCAAAGAAGACAATGAAGAACATAATGGCAAACCCCAGGATGTCCTTGGCACAACGTGCCAGCGTGGAGGAGAGCTGTGTCATTGTTTTGTTAAAGCTAATATACTTGAATATCTGCAGGAAGAAAGAACAGAGACAACGTTAGGCCAAACCATCAGCTAGGTCAGTCTCTCTTACATATGCACATGCTTACTAAGACAAGAAGATCACTATAGTACCAAAGCACTGAGAAGACAGCCAGGCTAGGGCAATGGTGACATAGTGTTCAGGATATTTGTCCCACGTGTGCCACCATCCTCTTGTGGGATCATAAACATATCACTTTGTTTCCTGAGTCAAAGGAAAATATAAAGACTGACTACCATACGGTCAAATGTCTTGAGGCTAATGAGAAGCCCCAAGTACAGTGTGGCTTTCCATCATGCCAAGATGCTTTGTTTGAAATGCAAAGTCCATGCCAACAGATGAGTCATTTCTAGTTGCTGGGTGGCCATCATGAGTGGAAAACATGGTATACCAGATTATCCTCTAAAATAGTAAAATAGTGCAGGATGGACAAAGTTACGTATGTACTCTGCATTTTCTGAAACCACTTTTACACTACAGTGTCTGAGCTCATCTCCCTGTTCACTATGACCAGATAACTAGCCTCAGAATGCAAGGTGAAAAGTTGTCTGGATTTACTGCAAAACAGAGCGTGTAGCTTTGAGGAAAATCCTCTGTTATACAGCTGTTACCCTCATGCACTCAGAGAGATGGAGGAATGAACCCACAAGCTATCTAGAGGAAGAGGTCTGAGACTGGAGGCCTGACACCTCCCAGAGCCCATACAATACCTTGATCCAGGCAAAGAATAAGTTGACTGCATTCATATTATTATACTGTGTCTGCCAGAATGCCAGGAACTCGAAGTCTGCATAGGTGTCGGGGTGTTTCAGCAGCTCTCCCAACAGCCTGTTCACCTCAATGGTGCGAAAGATGTGAAACCCAATAGCAATGATGGAGAGCTAGGAAGAGGAAGAGGAAGAGTCTGTAGTGATCGCTGTACCTATGCTTTCCACAGAAACTAAAGTGTCACAGAATTCTTTGGTAAGACACTTCACAGCTGCAGTTTGCTGGTGGGAGCTGGAAATGAGGTCTTAATGCACTGAGTGATGCCCTGACTTCACAGCCTCTCAGGCAACTCCAAGAAAAGAATTTTGTCCTAACAGCTGATAGAAGATAATATGTTAATTTACTCTGCTCATTCAGTTTGCTATTAGAGCAAAACACATGCCAGTTTTTCTCTAGACCAGTTTCCCCATTCCTTTCTTTATTTTGCCTCTTACATCTTTCTGTCATTGCCCTCCGAAAAAACAGAAGCATGCAAAGATCCTCACCAGAATGACAACCACATCCAGGATGTTCCAGATGCTGGTGAAGTACTGAAGCTTGTGGATACGCAGCTCCAAGATCTCCTCCACCACATAGTAGAAGATGAAGACACAGAAGACAATTTCACAGGCAACAATGAAGAAGTCCCATGGGCTGACATAGCGTATAAGCTTGACTGTCCGGATTTGCCAGGAGGGAATGGCACCACCAGTGGCTGGAAACTCAACCACTAACCTGGAACGGGACAAGAAAACTGTGATAATTACAAATGGTGATGAAGGCACTCAGATAATTTTGAAATGTATCAAACCTGAGCGTGAGCTATTCACCAAACCATGAGTGGAATTGCTGTTCATGTGTTTATGCAGCCTTATCTCTGCTGCTTCACTGCCTGTGATGGGAAGGGGTGAAAGGTAAAGAGAAGTGTGACTGCTTATGCCAGGAAGACTAAGTCTTCTTACTAATCCATATGATATCTACTGACACCACTCAGTCCTACCCCCTTGGTGGACCATGTTAAAGTATTTGCATTTTGAGAAACTGTGGCATTGTGGAAGAAGCAAGAGGCAGAAGAATTTTCAGTGGGATTCAGCTTACCTCAGAACACAGAACAGATTGATGTTTGCATTATACACAGAGAAATCAATGAAGACAACTCGTGTCCCCCGATCCAACCACAGTTTCTCCTTCAAGACTTGCAGGGCTTCAGCACTCTCTTCTCTGGTCAGTTTGAGATCTATGTAGTATCCTCCCCCACTGTAACTGGTTAGTCTTCCCCAGTGAGAGGAGCCACTCAGCTCCTCCTCAGAATGGTACCTCCACCTGCAACAGACAAGCTGTAAGCAAAGGCATCACCACTCTGGCTTGGATATGACTTTGTAGCTAGGAGAAATTAGACTGTAACTTCAAGGTACAGAGCAGTTTTTAATTAAAGAGCTGGCACTTCATTGCTTAGAGCACACTTGCACCCATATTTCCTTATGAACAACAGCTTCTTGTTCTCAGATCAAGACTTCTGCAGCAAGCAGAGTTATTAAACTGCAGTTACCTCACATTATTAGAGAGAAATAGATTTTCAAGATTAAAGAGATGTACTCCTTTCTCTCTGGCTCCTGAAATCCAGGAGGGAAGCAGATAGCATCATCAGTTTGATAGATCTGGTGCCAAAGGTCTCTATTTATTCTCACCCTCTTAAAAACAGGCAACACAAATTTCCATTGGATTTTTCATGGCTTTCCCAACAGGTCTCAGTCTGCCAATCATTCTGCTGGTTTTTTCCTCAAACAGACCCCTGACTTTATTGATGCCTCTGACTGCAAGGGGAATTCAGGCCTTATGCAAGAAACTCAACCCTGGCATCCTGCAGCTCAGCAGAGGTTATTTTAACTAGAAGAGACTAATTTGGATTTTCTAATTCTGACCAGCAGAGGATGTACTTACGCTGTTCCATTGATGAGCCCAAAGGAGACCCTTTCTTCCTTGTCTTCTGAGTATACATCATAGCAGCCTGAGATTTCCTCCTTGAAGTCATCATGGACCACACAGGAATTGTTCTTCACCTTCAGCTGTCGGATGCGTGGGACACCCAGCAGCAGGTTCTCATAGTAGATGTATGACTGGGTGCTGTGTGCTGCTAGGGACTCGTTGTTATACCACTTTGTCCAGTAGAGATTATCCAGAAGGGGGCCTTGTGCATACTGCAAAAGAGGGAGAGGAGAACAACTTCATAGCCTACACAGCAGAGGAATTTTCTTAGCCTGGGCTTGAGGTCATAATACCTAACCCATCCACCTCTACTCTCCAAGATGGAAAGCAGTAGAAGCTTATGTTGGATGTGTGCTAAGGAGGGGCAAGACCAGGGCTGGTTGTAGAAGAGGCATACTGGGCAGCAGGGTCACTGTTGGCTCCTCACAGGCCTGTAATACCATTTGTGCTGCACCTTGTTGGGCTAATGAAGAGACAAGATAACTACAAGTGTCTTTGCCCCTTCCACTTCAGTGAGCACAAGTCTCAAGGAATTGCCTTGGTACAAGGTGCAAAAGATGAAAAGGGTGTGTGCTAGTGCCCTGGAAACAGTGTAGGAAAACCAGTAGTGCCATAGTTCACCATACATCAGGAATACAACAGAAAAAGACAAAGCTCACTGACAAACCATTTCTGGCTGTCAGAGATAAGTGGTTGCAATAGCTCAACAGCATTCGCTGCCTTCAGTTCTTTGATAGAAACGTATTAGACCCCAGACACCTTTCCCCCCCTCCTTATTCTCTTTGATAAAAGTCAGTGCAAATTTTAATCCAGCTTCTTCATAAAAAAAAAAATATCTATCAATCAGACCACCCCAGGCATGAATTAGAGCCAGGTTAAGTTTGCCATTCCCACAGTTTCCCATGCAAATGGACATAGGCCCATTGCTAAGGAACCTTCAAGAAGACTGTAAGTGTCAAAGCCATTTCTACCATAAGGAAACCTGGAGCAAATCACTTAGCCTCTCTGGGCCAGTACTCCCTATCTGTGCAATGAGCATCATAGCACAGCAATTTCTTTTTGTTATGTCCCTCCTGCTTAGCTGTCGAGTTACTGGGGAGCAGACTCTCCTAGGCACACACACTGCTTGGCCTAGCTGGTGTTCTGGATGCAGAGCTCAGAGGGGTGAATTGGCTTTTAAATCAGTGGGTATTCAGCACACAAATGAATTTGTAACAACTGCTAGTACCATGGCAGCAAAAGGCCTTGCTGAAATCACTAGGTAGCACATTCAGAGCAAACTGAGTATGCCAGCCCAGATGAGATTTCCAGGGCCAGGTTTGTACTCACCACCCAGAAGTCAGCCATGCTGCCAATGGACTGGAAGGAGACACGGCTGTCTGAAGAGGTCTGCAGGAAGAGCTCAGACATCACTCTGGTGTAGTAATAGGCATTGGAACTTGTCATTCCATATGTCACTAAAAAAAAGAGACAAGAGCAGGGTCATCCCTTATACCTGAATATTGGAGCCTGATATAAATTCATATATTCACTTTTTGTGCAGCTTATACAGTCACAGGTAATCTGAGCAAAGCACAAGAGAAGAAATCTTGGGAACTCTAGTTCTGTCACTTTCTGCTTTATTAGGGATTTACAAACCTATCTGTTGCATGTTCCAGAATTCAAACTGTCAGATTGGCAGACTACAAAAGTTTAGAAGGCAGAGAAGACGAGTGGATGATGTAACTGAACATCCTGGGTAACTTTTTTTGTCCTTAGGCAAAATTTCTGACAGAAATTTTCTTTCTCAGAACCAGGTCCATGATCCATGTTTTGAAGTTATGATGTGTAGCCATGAAGGGATAGAGACCATGCAATTTTCCCAACTGGAAAGCTTCAGGTAAATTCTCATCTACTAAGAAACCTTAAACAGGAACAGGCTCTTAACTTCCACAAACATGTTTTTTCACCTCTCCAGTGCTCCTTCCTGATGAAAAACATCCATCATGGTCATCACTAGGAACATATCCTACTCTTGAAAGGGCACCATGGCAATAGAGCAGCTGACATTCAAGGACACCCTTGACCACATGCTTCTGGATGAGTCAGTGTGTGACCACAAATACGCCTGTGTATGTGTCTTGGTTCTTTTGGAAGAGTGACTGAAGCACTGCCTTCCTGGGCCAGTGTGATAACAAGTCAGGTTGGTATTATCTGTCTATCTCTTCTGCCATAGGGTCCCTGAAATATAATCCTCTTCCCTGTCCCATGCCACAGGTGCTCATTTCTGATAATGAATGAACCTTCCCAAAAAAACAAACAGCCATTGTTCTACCCAAACAAAGTCCATTAGCATTCAGTACAGGGATAAATTAAATCCATCCTGGAGCAACAGTGTGAGCTGCCATCTGCTTTATCACCTCAGTCACTCCTGCAGTCTGAGAGGGGAAAATCTCTCTGAACCCTGTGTCTTTGATCCCAG